CTAGAGCTCTATTTACTGTGCCATGTAGTTGCCAGTGAGCCAGCCCTACCCAGGGACTCACATCAATTCTTGCCTTGCTTACCACTAGAAAAGAGATTGAGAACTTGTCCATTCAGTTCCCGCTCAGTAGCCAAGGTTTTTCATCACCATATAGTAAGCTCACAGGAAATAATCAGAGGATACCTGCCCATGCTCTTAATAGGAGAGGGAAAGGGCCCTTCCATCCTGCATTTCTAGAAGCAGGCTCATCAAGCCTCCATGGGAATTGGCAGCAGGCAGAGAACTGGGACCTTATTGGCCAGTCTCCCTAATAAACATGCAATTAGTAATGTGTAATCAGGGACAGGCAGAATTATTTTAGTGGATGAATAAATGACTGAATGGAAAATATATATTAAGCGCTTTCTATGTGCCAAGCACTAGGGATACAATGACAAAAGTTAGTCTCTGAACTCAGGGAGCTGACATTATAATGGTAAATTCGGTGACCTTGGGCAAATCTCTTAAGGTGTTCATGATCCAGGAAATTCTCTGTGTCTGTAAGGAATAGATGAGTTGCTGATCTGCAATACCTAGGTAGTGGGATTTTCTATAGGCTAATGAAATCATGTGTCTGGACCAAGCAAAAGAGCCTGCCCTGAGAGCAGGTAAAATACAGAACCACCTATATGTCATGATTTGAGTGGTGCTGAATAATGAATGAATGAAGAACATTTATTAAGTGCTAAGCACTATCCTAAGCCTAGGATACAAATTTTAAAAAAGTTAGACAGTCCTACTCTCAGGAAGCTGACCAAAAATATATCCCTTACCAGCCATGGTGTCTAAAATTCACATCACTTGTTAAAGACCTTCAGGAGAATTGTGAATTTTAACTGGGCTTTAGACACTTTTTTACATGAAAGGAATACAGCATTAGGTAGCCAACATGTTAGCACAGATTGATTTCTCTAATTAATTCACTAGAACTCACTGCCACCTGAGAGAAATAAGGATGCTAAAGGAATGGGACACAGAAGAGGTAAGTTTTGATGTGGGGGGGGGTGGGGAAGAAAAGGAACATGGGGCCCCAGTGAAGTATTCCTGGCAGCTAAGGGTCTTATTTCATAGTTTATGAGCCAACCCTTTGCCAACTCTCAGCTCCTTATCAATTATCCTCTTTGTAGATAATCATCTGGAAATTATCATTGTGGTGCTAAGCCATCTGCCCATTAAAAATTGTGTTCTCAAACAAATAGGTCAATTCTAGGACAAACAGTGCAGCTGCCCTGGGGTCAGGACAGTTTGGATGTCCATGGTGGATCCCTGTTGTTCCTAATTGTACTCAAGATATGAATGCTCATCCTAATTCAGAAATCACATACAATCCAATTAAATCAAGAGCTTGCAGTTTTTCTTGCCTCTTGGCAAGAGAGAGCTTAAAAGCTATTAGACACTGGGAATGGGGAGGAAAGAATGACTACCTGTGGAGTTGGAAAGAGGATAGGAATACCCACCCCCATAATCCAACACAGTTGCTCAAGTAATCATATTAACAATAATATTAGTAGCTGGCTGGTAATTGTCAAAACAATCTGGTACTGGCTAAGAAATAGAGTGATGGATCAGTGGAATAGATTAGGTACACAATATATCATAGTAAATGACAATATATTACAGTAAATGACCATAGTAATTTAGTGTTTGATAAATCCAAAGATCCAAGATTTTGAAACAAAAACTCTTATGACAAAAACTTCTGGGAAAACTGGAAAACAGTATGGCAGAAACTAGGCATAGACCAGCATCTCACATTGTATACCAAGATAAGGTCAAAATAAGTACATGAAGGGTTATACCTTAAGCACATAAGTTACACATAAAGGGTGATACCATAAGCAAATTAGGAGAGCATGGAATAGTTTACCTGCCAGATTTTTTAATAAGGGAAGAATATAGGACCCAAAAAGATACAGAGAGCATTATAAAATGTAAAATGGATAATTTTGATTATATAAAATTAAAAAATTTTTGCACATACAACCAAAATTAGAAAGAAAGCAGAAAACTGGGAAAAAATTTTTTACAGTAAATATTTGATAAAGGCTTCCTTTCTCAAATATATAGAGAACTGACTCAAATTTATAAGAATACAAGTCATTCCCCAACTGGTAAGTAGATATGAATAGGCATTTTCAGACAAAGAAATCAAAGCTTCTTATAGTCATATGAAAAAAAAAAATGCTCTAAATCACTACTGATTAGAGAAATGCGAATTAAAACAACTCTGAGGTACCAACTCACACCTATCATATTGACCAATATGACAGAAAAGGAAAATGATAAATGTTGGAGAAGATGTGGGAAAATTGGAACACTAATGCATTGTTGGTGGAGTTGTGAACTGATCCAACCATTCTGGAGAACAATTTGGAACTATGCCCAAAGGGCAATCAAACTGTGCATACCCTTTGATTCAGCAATACCACTTCTAGGCTTGTATCCCAAAGAGATTTTTTTTAAACGGGAAAAGAACTTACTTGTACAAAAATATTTATAGCAGCTCTTTTTGTGGTGGCTAAGAATTGGAAATTGAGGGGATACCCATCAACTAGGGAATGGCTGAACAAACTGTGGTATACGACTGTGAAGAAAAATGGGCTGATTTCAGAAAAACCTGGAAAGACTTACATGAACTGATATAAAGTGAATTGAGCAGAACCAGGAGAACATTGTACACCGTAACAGCAATATTATACAATGAACAACTGTGAATGGCTCAGCTTTTGCTATCTGCCTCCAGAGAACTGATGGTGTTTGAATACAGTCTGAAGCATACTATTTTCTTCTTTCCTCTCTTAGAGAGTAAATGAAGAAAGAAAAGCATATGAGGAATGAGCCTTTAGATAATACTCCCAGTGAAGGAGTTGGAGGAGTAAAAGCAGACAACAAGTGAGGCAAAGAAGGGAGGTGGAGAACCAGGAAAGTATCAGAGAAACCAAAGAAAGGGTATGCAGCTGGTCAACAGCATCAAAAGAAGAAGATACGCAGATTGAGAAAATCCACTGGTTTTAGACATAGGTCATTGCTGACCTGGTGAAATATATTTTTGTATATGATTCCAGAAGAATTACCACTCAGTTCCTTCTGGAACACTCCCATTTAGGATTGAAGAATTCTTTAGCATTTCAAAAGCGGACAATTCTTAGTGGGATTAGAAGGCAATCACTCAGGCATTGATTTTATCTAGATAAGGGATAAGTTGGTGATAACCAATTTATGAACTATCCCTTTGCCAACTCTCAAATCCTTATCAATTTTTCATTTCAAAGAAAGGCCTTAGTTTTTGTTTTTCCCACTTTCCTAAAGGGAAAAGCCTGAAAAGGGTTTTAAGGTGGAAAAATATTGCTTCCTAATATTTCCAGAGAAACTAAAAGGGTGTTTAAAAAAAGAAAACTTCCACAGTCATTGGTTAGTCAACAAGCATTTAAAAAAATTTCCACATTAGCCACATCAAAAAAGAAAACATACACACACACATACAACACAAGAAAAATAAAGTAAAAAAAGTATGCTTCAATCTGCACTCAAGGGTTCATCAGGTGTCTCTCTGGAGGTGAACAGCATTTTTCATCATGGGCTCACTTCACTTTGCATCAGTTCATATAAATATTTCCAAGTTTTCCTAAAACCATCCTCATTGCCAAGTCTTACACTACACTAGCATTCCATTACAGAGGACAGCTAGGTGGCTCAGTGGATAGAGCCCTGGACTTGGAATCAGGAAGACTCATCATGTTCAAAGTTCCAAAACACTCATCTGAGTTCAAATCTTGCCTCAGACACTTACTACCGGGGTGGCAAGTCACTTCTCCCGTTTGCCTCAGTTTCCTCATCTGGTGACCAAACAACAACATTCCATCGCTGTCATATACCACAACTTCAACCAGCATTTATTAAGCACCTACCATATGCCTGGAAGCACGCTAAAGGCCAGAGGGCAAAAACAACCCAACAGGGCCCCTGCTCTCAAGCTCACAGTTTAATGGAGTCAAGGAGGGTTCCCACAACTCAAATAGCAAACTGAGAGTCAACTCTCGACTCATCTTCTTGGGTAGTAACATTTTAGTTTCCCATTTCAAGGTTTGGGACATGAGGCATGGAGGAGCTTCTTGGGGGGCTAAGGAGGCTTTAGCGAGACCCTGAGTTAGTTGGAGGGAGAGGCGAATGCTGAGGCTTTGAACAGACAACATACGAAAAGCTTATTTTGTTTTGTTGTTTAAAAAAAAAAACAACAAAAACAGCCGGGTCAAACTCAGGAACGAGTGACCCCGGGGACCCCGGGGCGAGCTTCTCGGTGACTACAAAATCAGCAGCTTCCTTTTCCCCCCAAGCTCCACAGGAGGGTTAATCACGGCTATGACTCCAGCCGAAGGGGGGGGGGGCCACGAAGGGTATTTTCCACCCTCGGGCTTCTCACGCAATAGCCAGTAAGCCTCCCACCACCCCTGCGGCCACGTCCTCTTGTTTTGGAGCCTCGCGTGGTCCTCCCTGATAGGCCGTGGCGGGGCCTCGTGCTCCCGCCGACCGCAGAATTCCCACCCCTTCTGTAGTTCCCGGCCTCCCTCGGAGGGTCCTTCCGGCTCTGGGCCTAGGGAATCCCTGCGGACGGGAGGGAACTCCAAGTCCCATAATGCACAGCGCACGCGGGCGGGGAGCGGCCGGGAAGAGCACGGGAAGGCAGGGGGCGGGGCCCCGTTGCGGGAGGGGAGGGGACCAGAGGGTAGTGGGGCTAGGCTCCGCCGCCAGTGGGCGGCTTGCTAGACTTGCTTCCAGCTGCCTGACAGGTGTCGGGGGGACGTTGACCGCCGAGCGAGGGGTTCTTCCGCCGGGCTTCCAGGGCTCTCCGTAGTCGTTCGTCGTCGTCCGGCGCCTTGGTGGCGCGGGCCGGCCGAGGCGCGGCTCTCCCTGCCCCCCGGCCCCGGCCGCGGCGAAGGAAGAAGGAAGGAGGCGAGGGCAGCATGAGCCGAGCTGGCCGCCGGCGCAGCCGGGCCGGGGCAGTGGCCGCCGTGCAGCTGTGGGTGACCCTCAGCTGCCTGAGCACCGTCGCTGAGGCCCAGGTAGTCGGGGACGGGGGGAGCTGGGGCGGGCCGGGGACCCCTGTCGGGGAGGGCTGGTCCTCCAGATGCGGAGCAGAGCTCGAGAATCGGAGCCTCCTTATTGAGCGCCTGCTGTATGCGAGGATGGCGACATCCCCGGGGGAAGAGGGAAGGGCGGGTGGCGGCCAGAGGAGGAGGAAGAGGCTGAGTTCCTAGGATGGCTTTTTTGGAAGAGGAGGAAGGAGAGAAAAGGAGATGGAACTGCCCCCCTCCCTTCCCACTACCCCTACCACACCGCCCCCTCCTCCCCGCTCCTCCCTCCATCTCCATCCCGCGGCCCCCAGCGGAGCTGGTGACAGCCCCCGTGGGGGAACGTGGCAGGCGGCAGGCAGGCAGGCGGAGGGCTGCCCCTTGGTCAACTCTATCTTTCGAGAGGGTCTTAGCCTCTGCGGACTCGAGCCTAGTTGGTGGTTGACCCCCTGGAGTTGAGAAGTGGTATCTTGCCCCCAGCCCAGCTCTGGCGCCCGAAGCTTCGCTAGTGGTGATGTCCACGCAGTGAGGGGTCCCTGCGGTGGGTTCAGCATCAGGAGACAGGAGGTTTAAGGCGGCCTGGCCAGGCTGGGGTGAGGCTCCCCAGGGACTCCCCAGCTGTTCAGGGGCATCACATTCCGCAGCAGGGTGGGAAAAGGATCCTTCATGTGGAAATTCCCAATATTTATTATGTGGGTCCTGTTTTAGCGTCCTTGAGCTTGGTGACACATTGCTCCAAAGAGACGTTTCCTTCTTTTTGTCATTTGGGTGGGTAGTGAGTGGGCTGCCAATTGATTTCTTAGGCTTTGTTTTTATTTTGTTTTTTGTTTTTTTGCACCTGCTGCAAAAGTGGCGAAGCTACTAAGAGGAAAAAGAAACAAGGTGTCCCAGGTGGTCCTGTAATGAGGGGAGATGTGGTGGTAGCAATTAAGGCACATTGCCACCTGAAAATGGAACACAATTGTGAGGTTGTGAATGTAAACATGTGCTTTTGACATTTTTCGGGGACTAATTTTCATGAGGCTTGTAGTAGGATCTGCTTATGACTGCCAGGCTGTACGTAAAATAATAGCTAGTATTTATGTAACATAGTGATGTTTTCTTTGTTCAGTTTGTTTTCATTCCTGACTAGGGTTTTGTTGGTTTTTTTGTTTTAAACATATGCCTTAAATTGGTGCAAAGCTTTTGCTTGGCCTCTTAGTTGTAACATTTTTTATTAATTAGGTAATATGAGATAATATGTATTATGAGAATATGTGAGCTTTTCTTCAGCTGATAACATCTTTTCTTCATTGTTAAGTTAATTTAGGATGAAGAATATAATAAAATTTTGTAATACAAATTATATTTGGCAATTTAATTTCCCAGTTTGTAGTTATTAATAAGATATTTTTCCCAATGGGAATATAGTATATGTAAGATTTTCTTTGTGCTCTTTTTAAAAATTTTTTTATTAATTTATTTTGATTTATCAATAATCACTTCCATATGCTTTTGAGTTGAAAATTTTTCTCCCCCTTCCTCCCCACCACCCTCCCCAAGAAGGCATACAATCTGATACAGGCTATGCATTTACATTCCTATTAAACATATTTTCACGTTAGTGATGTTGTAAGTAAAAATTAGAACCAATAGGAGGAACCACCAGAAAGAGGAAACAAAACCCAACAGAAGAGAAAAAAAAATAGCAATTCAAATTCCATAGTTCTTTCTTTGGATGTGGATAACATTTTCCATCATGAGGCCTTTGGAGATGTTTTAGATCTTTGTATTGCTGAGAAGGGTTAAGTTTATCAATATTAGTCATCGCACAATGTGACTGTTGTTGTGTACAACGTTCTCTTGGTTCTGCTCACTTCACTCAGCATCAAACCATACAAGTCTTTCCAGGTTTTTCTAAAGTTCTTTGTGTTCTTTTAAAAAATCTTTTTTTAAATAGTAAATATAGTACATATTTTGGGCTTCTAATACAAGCACCAACCCAGAAACTTTAGTTTATGACTCTTCACATATTCCTGATTATTATAAAAACATGAAATTTGCACATTTCAACATGTGTGTGATATCTGAACTGTTAGGTCAACAGTTAAAGTCATCTATGGGTGCATTAAAGTGTGAAGGGTTTGAAAACTAGTCCATTAAAGTAAATAAAAATATGGGTTTTTTTTTTAATTTAAACTGTTCCTTTATACAGCAAGGAAATATACATAAATATTGAGGCCCAGAATTTGAAAATATTTAGTTCAGTTTCTTCCTTTCTCTCCATTGCATTCAGTTAGGAGAGAAACAATTTAAGTGACAGGAGAGAAATTATATTTTTAAAAATGTTATTTGCATTGAGCCAAAGATATGAACTATTTAATGGAATCCAGTACATAATTTTGAATATTTCACTTTCTTGCCAGGAAAAGGCAAAATTTGTTTCCCATTGTGTAATAAATCTCAATATACTCTTTTCTGTTTCACTTGATTATAAATTAAATGCAAAAGTGTTTTGAAGCGGAATGCAGCAGCCTGTACTGAAGCTACTGTGAATACAGCTAGTAATCTTTCTGTAAAGAAGAAATGTGAATGTTCCATTCTCTCAGATTGGGTTGTAATCAGGTGTACCTGTAGATTTCTGATAGAGACTGAGCAACTTGGAGATCTTGAATTGACAAAATTACAACTGAAGATTTTTCATTTATTTGTATTTGTGTGTGTATGCTTATACATAAACACTTAAGCTTTTCATTTTACTCAGAAGATTAAAGAAAAGCAACAAATTTTGCACTTATCTAAATAATTGTAGAATAAAGAAACTTTCCCAAAAACCTCTTTTCCTCCTTTATCTTATGGAATCCCTTAAAAGTAATTATCATACAGTACTTTAAAAAAATCTGAGAAAAGACAACATTAAGAGGGAGCAGGTTGGGAGGGTTGTGGCCCTGGGGTGAAGGAGGCAACTGTTCCACACACTGTTGCTAAGTTAGCATTTTGGCTTTTGTTTTAATACTCTAGGAGTCTTAGAACCTCATTCAAGGCTGTTCTTTAGAAAATAATAATGATAATGATAGTTAGCATTTATATAGTGCTTACTATGTGCTACACAATGTACTGAGCACTTTACAAATATTAACTCATTTGATCCTCATAACAACCCTGTCAGGTAGGTACTATTATCATCCCCATTTTACAGTTGTGGAAACTTGTGTGACTTGCCCAGGATCACATGGCTATTGTGTCAGAGGCTGGATTTGAACTCGGCTCTTCCTGACTTCAGATTCATCTGCTGTGCCACATAGCTGCTAAGCTAACAAGATTTAGTTGTGGCATAAGGAAAAATTCACTAGTATAAGTCATCCTGATAAAAATGCAGTTTTTCGCTTTCTGTCAGCTGCATATTGGATTACATGACATTTTCAGGAACAAGCTGTTAACCTGTAGACAGGATGTGAAAGAAAATGAGTTTGATGTTTGTGACCTAGAACTTTGCTTTGTGAAATAAGCATTTCCTGGATTGACACTTTGGCAGTTGCAATAGCCTGTACTACATTGTGGTATCCAAAAATATTTGCACTGAGTACCATATTATAGTTTATGCAGTCCTAAACTTAGAAAAGATTGTTTTCCAAAAGTTTGTAAAAATGTTCATTATCGGAAACTAAGACTCAGATGTTTTTTTTTTTCCTTATAGAGAAAATAGATAAATGATGGTTAGGTTCTTGGGGTGAAATATAAAACTATCTTTAGTCCATGATGTAATTAAAATAATAGTGATAATAACCCTATACCTGAACTTTGAATCTTGAGTTCAGAACTTTGAATTGGGAGATGGGCTTGAAAATTCTGGGGACTGGGAAGCTGGTATTGTTGGACCTGGTAGCTGGGGAATAGCAAAAGAGTGGGGTTTCCAACATCACCTACTGAGAAGTGGGTTTCTGTGGCAGAGGACAGCAGCAAGGACTTTATTGTAGGTGGGCTTTGGTAGCAGACATCAACCAAGATAGAGCCCTGTAATTTTGAGATAGATGTAGGTGGTAGCAGAGCTCCAGTTAAATTGAACTATTCTCTATTTTCTAAACATACCTTTTACTTTCCTTCATCCCCATCTTTATTTCTGCCTCTTTTTTGGGTGGGTTGAGTGAGGTGGTTCTTTGATGATTTCATTGGCTTACAGAATTCCTTTTGTGAGTAAAGTGAGGAAACTCTGCCATTCCAGATAAGCAAACTTCTGCAACTTTATAATCTTAAAGGATTATCCAGGGGTGTTGAGAGGTTATAAGGGACTTGCCCAGAGCCGGTATGTGTCAGAGGCTGGACCTGGACTTGAGCCTAGAGGCTTCCTGCCTCTCTGGCCAGCCTTCTTGGTACTTTGTTATGCCACTTATCCCAACCTGGTGAAATTTTCTGTAACCTTTGAAGTTCAGTTAAAAAGTCTCTCTCTCTACAGAGCCTTTTTTTAACTAACTCTCTTTCCCTATCTCTTATGTACTATTATTTCCATTTTTTGTTATTAGTAATTTGTACATGTATTTTTAATTAGATTATCAGGCCCTTGAGAATCACATCTTAAATTTATCTTTGTATTTTCCCGTCTGCCTAGCATATAGTATATATGAGTACATAGGTAAATAAGTGTTATGTACTAGTCATTGATAAAATTAAAATTTTGGAGCTGGAAGGTACCTTAGAGAAGTCTTGAGAGTATTTCTAAATTACTGACAGTTTATTTTTTCTTTACCAAATTTTCTTTATAAGTGCTATTAAGGGGCCACTGGGTGATGCAGTGGATAGAGCACTGGCCTGTAGTCAGGAGGACCTGAGTTCAAATGTAGCCTCAGACACTTGACGCTTAATAGCTGTGTGACCTTAACCCCAGTTGCCTCTCAAAAAAAAAAAGTGCTTTTAAGAGCCTACTATTAAATAACATTAGAATAGAAGGCATATAGGGAAAATATCTATAAATATACTATTATTAATGTGTAGTATTTACTTTGAGAGACAAAAAGGTTAAAACTCAAGATCTTCATGGTATGTACCCATACCAATTTGAGGCTGCAGCATCATTATAAAATAAGATGGTGTGGAAATATTGGAAGGAGTTTATAAAAATAATTATGAAGACTTTCTTTAGTAAATTAGTAAATATTTAGCAATATTTAGTAAAAATAGTAAATAATATTTCGTTATCCAAGGGAGTATAATTGTTTTGACATTTAGCATCCAATTTGTTAAGGTAACTAACTGCCTGAAACAGATTTAAAGTTGACCTGCAGTTTATTTTGAAACAAAATATTCTCCTATGTCACTATCCATAATACCTCTGCTTATGTATCATGTGACTCTTTTCAAAGATTATGCTTTCCTTTCCCATTTTGTCAGAAATACTCAGAAAAAGGAGAGTGGGGGGAGGGGAACAGCTTTGTTAAATTATCTTGTCATTCTGTGATTATTCCAAGTTTCTCTCAAGAGGCACCTAATGGCCGTTCTTTGTCCAGTAGGCCCTAGGTTATCCCAGCTCTTCACTGTACTTAATACCAAATGTACATTGCATAACCAAAAAAGTTGTTATAACTTTTGTAGCTGCTCAAATCTTGAACTTCAAATAATGAATCAACAAATTAACAATTTTCATAACATGAAACTTCAAATTTGTTTACTTTATTTGAATAACAACTTGTATTGAATGTTTATTTTGTTGTTTTTTTTGTTTGTTTTAGCTCTCTGGAGTCCTCGATGATTGCTTGTGTGATATAGAAAGCATTGATAGCTTCAACACCTATAAGATCTTTCCTAAAATACAGAAATTGCTAGAACGGGACTACTTTCGTTATTATAAGGTAAGGCTGCTTAGAAAAACTCACAGATGGGCCGTACAAAGAGCCAACCTCTAAATTTCTCCTCAGAAATTTAAATCTTAATATGTTCTGAAAATGAATGGCAATCAGTGTTTATTTCAAACCTTGAGCCATATTAATTCTATCTATACTTGGAAAAACTTCTATAATTTTATAAAAGCTGTGGACTGAGAGTTCAAAATTCAGATTCTAATCCTGGTATATTGTGAAATTCCTTTGTATCTTAATTTTCCTGTCCAGAAGTTGAGGACAATAGGGAGGGACAGTTCTATCACAGAGGTGTTATGAGACAATCCAAGACACTTTTCTTCCTGCTAGCATTTAAAAAAATGAACATGTTTCCTCCCTGGATAGTCAAGGATTTAACCCTTAGCCCCAGACTTTACATTTTAACATATTGATGGGATTCTTTCAAAAATATATTTATAAGTACTTCCATACTTCCTTAGACAATGTACTGAATGTAATTTAACCTTTCTTCGATAACTCAGGTCTAGCATTATGAATATTAGTTATTGTATTGTGATTAGACATTTTGACACTTGGAATTCATGATCTCATTAGAAAGGTCATAGCACCTCCCTCCAGTTTCTTTTATCCTGTGTTATTCTTCTTTTAATATCTTGGATTTAATGCCTGGCTCCTGAGCCAATTAATAGGACATTTGAAGGCATTCAAACATTGGGAAGTGTCCTCCTGGTACAGAGGAAAAACTGTAATCAGGGCTGGGTGGGGAGGCAAGGTGGAAAGGAGATGAAGTTCATGGCAGCTGTTCTAAAAGTTGGGAATTTACTATAGAATATTTCAGAAAGGGGGGCATCTACAAGGTGAATTTGTTTTCTTGTGTTGACTTCATGCCAGCCATGCCCTCTTTGCTCCAGGGGATTGCTGTGGAGCCATACAGATACCAGTGTTGCACTTGTGTTGTCTAGCTGTTGTGTTTGTCTCTACTCTATGGCTGGCTCACCTATATCTCTGCTGTCACATTTCTTTAATGATGTCTTTTATGTTACTCCCAAAGAAGTCATTGTTGGTCATCTGCTACAACCTACTTATGCCTGCTATATGTCTTTCCATTGCCCTTTAATAAATTGTAATTTTGATTCTTCTTAGATTGGAGTGCTTGCTGTTTTGCACTTGTATAGTATCACTTAAAAATATTGATCTCAAGAGGTATCCTTTGGTGTCATTGAGCAGTATGGAATTGTTGAAAATATTGTGAAATTTCTAAAATAAGATCCCCTTCAATATTCTCCTTAGTTCTTGACTTACACTCACTTCATTGTCATTGAACAGGGCCTTTTCAAGATATATGTAGATAGATGTGTGTGTGTGTGTAGATATATATATATGTATGTAGACACATATATACAGGCATATACAAGATGTGTGTGTTTATATATACATATACATATACATACGTACACACATATATGTATTTTATCCACTGTATTTATCCAGCTGTATTTTATCCACTTTGTTTTTTCAGTGTGAATGGCTAGGCCAGTCTTAATCGCATTATTGTGTATTTCACTGAGAAGGCTTTATAATTTTTCCAAGCTTGATGTAATTAATAGAATGTTATTTGTGAAGTTTTTATAGCTCTATCAAAAGACCTTTGTTAGGCAAGCATGTCTTCTTGTTTTACACCTCATTTGATGTCAGTAATCAATGGCTTATTGAACAAAATGATCATAGTCAACATCTGTCATGGGGTTTTTGTGTAATTTTAATGTGTTGAGACATCTTGTTTGGGTAGGCTTTTCAAGAGTACATTTGTCTTTTCCAGTCAAGCGCTTTGCAAAAATTAGTAAGCTAAGTAGAAACAGCAGGATCTTTTATTTTGTCTTTTATTCTATATCTGTTTATAGGAGTTGATAGTCACATCTTCTCTGATAACTGCTGCCACCGTGGTACAGACCTTTATAACTCACACTTGGACTTTTGCAGAAGGCTGATGGTAGATCTGCCTGCCTCTAGTCTCTCCCCACTCTGTTCTCCATTCACCCTCCAAAGTTGATTTTCCTAAAATGCAGGTGCAATCATATCACTCTTCTACCCAATAAACTATAGTAGCTCTTTTTCTCTTCTAGGATCAAATGCAAAATGCTCTATTTGATGTTCAAAGCCCTTCATAAGTTAGCCCTCCCCATCTTTCCAGTCTTCTTAAACCTTATTTCCCACAATATATTCTTCAGTTCAGTGATACTGACCTCCTGGTTGTTCTACAAACAAGACGTTCCATGTCTAGCTCCAGGCATTTTCTCTGACTGTCCCCTGTGGCTGGAATGTTCTCTTTCTTCATCTCTACCTACTGGCTTCCCTAGGTTCCTTCTAGTCTCAGCTAAAATCCCATTTTCTATAAGAAGCCTTTCACAACCCCTCTTAATTCCAGTGCCTTCCCTTTGTTAATTATTTCCAATTTATCCTGTATATAGCTTATTCGTACATATTTCTTTGCTTTTTGTCTCCCCCTTTAGATTATGAACTCTTTGAGGGGCAGGGGACTATCTTTTACCTCTTTTTGTATTGCTGGTACTTAGCACAGTGCCTGGTACATGGTAGGCATTTAATAAATGTTTATTGACTGACAAATCAATATTACCATTGTTGATGTGATAGGCATGACAGTGCCCCAACTCGGAGTCTGTGATTATGAGGCCTAGGCTGAAGCTCCCCATCCTGGCTACCACTCCTTACCCCTACCTGCCCATTTATAATAGCTTCACTTATCTTTATCCCATTCTACCTTCTTCTTACATTGTGTCTTATGAAATCCTTGTTCTGTTATTAATTCATTTTCATATTAGACCATTGCCCTCCTCCTGAGAAATTATTTGGCATATAGGATTTAAGCTATTAAAACCTAAAACTGACACGGACTTCCGAGAGGTGAGATGGCAGAGAAAGAAGAAGTCACTCTCACCCTCCCTTATTGACCTCGGAAAGCCCAGAAAATATCACCTCTGGAAAAACCCTGGAATAGCTGAGCCAGCAGAAAGACAGGGTGCAGCCGTCTTGTAGCCCAGGAAGCTTGGGGGATTAATGGGAAAGGCCCCTCTCCCTCTGGGGGAGGGGGAGCAGTACAGGACAGGAGGTATTCCAGCAAGCCAGTGGCAAGCCCCACCTCAGCAAACCAGGAGGAGATCCTGATCCCCAGGGTGGTGGAGCAGGCAAGTGCCAAAGCCAGGACACCCCACCCCCCACCCCAGTGCCTCAGCGCACAGGCAGGGGAACAGGTAAATACCAGCTTGGAAAACCACCAGCATTCTGGCAGACATCCTCCAGCAGCCAAACATTCAAGTGCTTTAAAGAAGCCTGGGTGAGCAGGTGTCCTCGGGGGACCAGACTCCCCACCTCTACTCTGAGAACACCAGTGCTGTTGACCCCAGCTCAGCACCAGCTAATCTGCCAGACCCCTATAGCCTCCAGCTGCCAGCACCTGAGGTCCCAGCACACAAATCCAGTAACCAGGTCCCAGGTTCCCAGTACAAGAAGCTTGGGTCAGTGCCTCCTGCGCTCCAGCAGGAGAGCTCAACTTTAAAAGCCAGGACATAGACAAATACCATGAGCAGAAAGCAAAAACAGGCAGTGACCATAGGTTCTTACTATGGGGACTGGGAAGATCAAGGCTCAGATTCAGAATAGGAAAACATTGTCAATGTACCCACATCCAAAGCCTCAAAGGGGAATATGAACTGGTCTCAAGCCCAAAAAACTTTCTTGGAAGAGCTCAAGAAGGATTTTTAAAAGTCAAATCGTAGAGGTAGAAGAAAAATTGGGAAAGGAAATGAGAAGTGTGAAACAGAGAGTCAGTAGCTTGAAAAAGGAAGGACAAAAATTGGCTGTAAAAAACAAGTCTTTAGGAGCAGCTAGGTGGCAAAGTGGATAGAGCACTGGCCCTGGAGTCAGGAGAACCTGAGCTCAAATCCAGCCTCAGACACGTAACACTAGCTGTGGGACTCTGGGCAGGTCACTTAACTCCAATCACCTTTTAAAAAAAAAAAAGCACACTACAAGTCCTTAAAAAATATAATTGGCCAAAGTACACTGAAGAAATCAACTCCTTAAAAAGTAGAATTGGCCAAATGGAAAAGGAGGCTCAAAAACTCACAGAGGAGAATTCCTTAAAAAGTAAAATAGGCCAAATGGAAAAGGAGGTACAAAATCTAATAGAAGGAAACAATTTGTTAAAAATTAGAATTGGGCAACTAGAAGCTAATGACTCTATGGGATATCAAGAATCAGTCAAACAGAAACAAAAGAATGAAAAAATAGAAGAAAACATAAAATACCTTATTGGGGAGACGATTTAAAAATTACTGGGCCACCTGAAAACCATGATGAAAAAAAGAGCCTGGACAGCATCTTTCAGGAAATCATAAAGGAAAATTGCCCCAAGTTCCTAGAAGCAGAAGGTAAAATAGTCATCAAAAGAATCCACTGATCACTTCCTGAGAGAGATCCCAAATTGAAAATGCCAAGGAATATTGTACCCAAATTCCAAAATTACCAGGTCAAAGAGAAAATACTGCAAGCAACCAGAAAGAAACAATTTAAATGTCATGGAACCACAGTTAGGATTACATAGGACCTTGCGTACTCTATGTTAAAAGATCGGAGGGTGTGAAATACGATATTCCATAAAGCAAAGGATCTTGGATTACAACCGAAGATCAAGCACCCAGCGAAATTGAGCATAATCTTTCAGGGGAGGAGATGGACATTGAATGAAATAGGGGACTTCCAAGCCTTCTGGATGAAAAGACCGGAGCTCAGCAGGAAATTTGATCTTCAAATACAAGACTCAAGAGAGGCATAAAAAGATAAACAGGAAAGGAAAAAACCAACATATTAATAAGGGCAAATTGTTTACATCCCTACAAGGGAAGATGACACTTCTAACTCTTGAGAACTGTATCTTGAGAACATTTAAAAGGGGTATACATGGACAGCGTGGGTATAAGTTGATTTTGACATGA